CTCCCAAAGATACAATTCGCTTTTGACAGTACTCTTTTTTCTAAAATTAGTCATCTGTCAGTCGATTAAATTTTGCAGCATCAAACATGGTGGCAAAACTGAACATTCTTTCGACTGGAGCCTTTTGCTTATTAATTAACTAAAATAATCAAGAAACATCAGACCTCGATTATTGAGTAATCAAGTAATTGAAATTATTTCCTTCTGATTACCAATTAATCAAGTAATCAAAAATTTTATTTTCTGATTACTGATTGATAAAGTAATCAAATAATTTTCGAGTTTGATTACCGATTAATCGAGTAATCAAAAATTTTATTTTCTGATTACTGATTGATAAAGTAATCAAATAATTTTCGAGTTTGATTATTGGTTAATCGAGTAATCGGAAAATATTTTTCTGTGATAAATAATTAATTAAATAATTAAATAATATTAATTTATTATTACTTTTTTGCCGATCTCTGGCCGAGTATGCTATAAATAATTCTAAGAATCGAAGTACAGGTGAAACTCCCAGCAGATTACTTTTTGGCATAGATCAACGATTAGCGACGAGATAAAAGAATATATAAATGCGAATGTTAATGTTAAATCGAGGGATTTGGAAAAACTAAGAAATAAAGCAGCAAAAAAGATAACCGTTACGCAAGAGTATAACGAGAAATACTTTAATAAAAAGCACAAGGAACCTGTTAGCTATAAAGAAGGAGATTTTGTGATGTTACGTAATTTCGATAGCACAGCCGGAATGTCGAAAAAATTGATTCCACAATTTAAAGGACCTTACGTTGTTAAAAAAGTATTGCGAAATAGTCGCTATCTGATTTCCGATATAGAAGGGTTTCAAAATACTCAGAAAAATTATCAAGGAGTATTGGAATAAAAAAACATGCGATTATGGTTGAAACCGAATCCTGAAAACGATAGTCAGTAAACACTATGTTACATTATTAATTGCGAGCGATTGTAGATTAAGTAAGAAATTAGATTTAATGAGTTTTGTTTGTAATACTTTATATAAAAAGATCGAGGTCGATCTAGAGTCAGAATGGCCGAAACTGTAGTATTATACTTGATTCAAAATTTGTTTCTTAGAATTAGCGCTTTTATTATGTGGCGGCAGCGGCTTTGATCATGCGGTGAAATATCATACGCTGGCCTAGTGCCTACTGACCTAATGAAACCTTAGACCTGCGATTACTATTCCTCGAAAGGAAATGCGACTGTCGAGCGAGTCATCTCGTCATCGGCATATTATAAAGAATTATATTATTGTAAACTAACGGTGGATATTGATACGATTGTTAGCTAGCGGCGAATAGTTATTATAATAAGATCTAGCGGCATCTTTGATGTAAAGGTATATAAACCGGGATCCCGACGAAGTCAAGCAGTCGAGAAAAAGATCCTGACACTAATAAAGATTAAAGTTGTATATTCTATAAAGTTTGAGTCTTTAGTCTTTATTTATTCTCGCACTCACCACAGTAGAGTAGCGCTATCGTATTTAAGCTACTGCTACAATTTTATTAAAAGCGGGATTGATTTAGTTCAGTCCCTACAGAAGAGAAGCGCTACCGTATTTAGGCTTCTACAAATTTATCAGAAGGACGTGAACTCGAGTTAGTAATACGTGAAGCAGACCTGAGGGCACATACATCGGCTGCCAATACTAGAAGCCCTGCCATAAATGAGGGTGAGACTAACAACGTGAAGGGACTCAAGGATCTATTGAATGAGTTCGATGGCTCAAGTAACGCTTTCCGGAATTGGAAGCAGCAAGTCGAATTGCTGCGAGACGCATATAATCTCGACGACAACATCACAAAAATATTAATTA